TCTTGCTAAACACTCAGACTGAGGCTTGACTGAGATTATATAACATTCTTGGAAATGTAGACTGCAAGTAGTGGGAAAGGAGACCCTCGTGGATTGTTGTGGTAAATATTTGGCTCTAAATCTAGTGAACATTAAATCTCTAAGGTTTTCAGTAATGTTGAACTTGGCTGTGTGTACCCTGTGGTTATGATATTTTAAGCCTTTGAAATACATAGGTTCTCCAAAAAGGGCATGTTTTCCTCCCTGATTATTTTTCATAACTAGGATTCTTGTCGTTATCCTCACTGTCTACTTCAAACGAATTTTAAGCTGTTTACAACTTTTGCAGCATATGGTTGCAGCTTTTTATGCCTTGGCAAACAGCCACATGCAATAGTGAAGAGTGATTTTTTTGGGGGGGTGAGTATAGAGAATCTTGCTTTTACCCATTTTTCTATTTGATTTCCAACTTTTACTACACAATTGAGCTAGACTTTCCCTAGTCTTCCTTACCTCCTCTTTTTTTTTCATCAGAGAAAAATATTTATTTCACATAGTCTCAAATGGAGAATATTGATCTTGTGTGTTAGTCATTCTGTCAACAATTCAATTAATCATCTGAATTAGTAGTTGTTTATTAATATAGTAAATACATTGAGTTTTATATGTAAAAAGACCCACACATATCGTATTTTACATTTTTAAGTGATTTTTTAAATTTATTATTAATTTCAGTAACCATTTACAGAGACTTTGGATTTCCATTCATTCATTGTTGCACTTTTCTCCCCTCCCAACCCTCCCCCGCCCAGTACACTACCCTCTTGGAAAAGTAAAAGACAAATTCTTTCATTGTTTTACAAACCCTCCCCCAGGTCCACTCCACCATGTAGCCTTTGCTCTATACTCCTGTCATGACAAAAATACCTTATCACTTTTAAACAATTTCCCTTTTAAACAATTTCCTCCCTCATATATTCCAATGCAGTATACATTATTGAACCCATCTTTCTCCATCTCTCCCCAACCCCAAGGTCAGTCCTGTTTTACAACATTGGCACCATGCAGTATTTGTCCTTTTATGACTGAGATACTTCACTCAGCATAATGTCCTCCAGGGTCACACATTTTGACTAATATTGCATGAGTTCCTTGTTTTTCAATGCAGCATAGT